AAGACCAACTACGGGCAGTCCAGAAGGTCCGCGATGACACCACAAGGCTCGACCTGACGGTACCGACGTGGACACGGTCCGTCTCGGTCTGAAAAGACCGGGCTTCAGGACACAAATAAAGTTTTGTGAATGAATGAATAAACTCTCTACACATTAAGCACACTACACGTAGATATAACCTGCAAATAGCTGTTCCTTCATAATTATTTAATTGTGGTATAAGCACAAAGCCGATTTTAAATGAAAAAAAAACGTCACAGTGATATGAGTAACATTGCTATAGAACAGGTATTTTTTTTTACACAGCACAACAAATTTTGCTATCCATGGACCGCGCAAGTACTACGCCTACGATTCTCCTAAAAAAATATAAAGAAAGCAAAAAAGGAAAAACAAAACCACCTTTGAAGGCGGGTTTCAACGTCTGCAATAAAAGAAAGTTACCTTTTTTTACTACTTTTTTTTCTTGCATCACATCATGAGAATGTCGTTTTCCTTGCTTTTCACGCCTCACATCTGGCAGTGACATGTGTATGCCGAAAAAAAGAATGCTCACATGGACACGAAGAACACCGAATTTAGTGCGAACACACGCCACGAACAACACAAATTGCACAGCAGCTCAGCGTACATGCATGTACTGATTTGTCCGGGCAAGTTGGCTGAGAACAGACGTGGAGACAGTGTAGCCAGACGCTTTCCTAGTTTTTCCGTTGGCTCCTCTGCGTGACGTAGCATGTGGTGAAAGGAGGATGTGAAGAGGCCTGAAGAATTTTTGAGGGTGTTGGCCCACTGCGCCCGCAACATCTGCTAATGCTTCAGTTAATTTCCTCCTCCTCGACTAGCTTCTACACTAGCTAAGGAGAGAAGATGTTTGAGGCTCGGAATGGGTCCCGATGACTCGAGTGCACGGTGGCAGCGCTACGGAAGAGCCGCAGTCCGCTGAAGAGACGCTTTATTGCAGCCTCAGGCCCGAGTCCAAGCCCGAACCTCCGCTCTCCATTTCAGATTCAAACATCCTATTTTCAATTCTCGGTTGAACAAAGGGTTTTCACACAAGCCAATCACACGTTGGGACTCACATCACCACAACTGAGACGTCCCCACTACGCCACCGATCGCCAAAGAGAGGGAAAACCCCTCAACCCCCTTTTTATCCGGTTCCCTCTTGGCTACGTGTCTCAATCACTTTCCACATACAGGGATTCGTGCTGGGGCCGGGAAGTAAGAGACGTCACGATCTTTTCTTAATCATGGACGCATTTAATTCAATAGCAAGTGAAAATGGCGTACACACATACTGTCCGTGAACGACATCTCTGTTACACGAAATCGTAACACATCAGTAAATACTCGCGACACGCGAAACAGGATACATAAGCGAAGTAACGGTGACAATACAAGGGTGTCTCAATACTCAGTAAACACACGACGACACAAATGATGAAGTTATAAAACCACGCAATGTCTCAACGCGCCACTTCCCTGCCTACAAAGCTCGTCTAAATTGGGTGCATAAAGTTAATCTCACGAATGGTCCGTGTTGTCAGTCTTCATCGTCTTCGTCGTCTTCTTCGTCTCTCTCAGCGATTTCCATCTTCTTCCATAACGTCCCGCAATCACTCGCTTCCTCGTTTCCAATCTCTAACTTTCATTTCTCGTCATACCATCCCTGCCTCAGTCATCATCTCATCGACTCTAATCGCTATCTCTTCACACCGTTATCTTCTTTTTCCATTCCGTCTCTCTACCATCTCGAACTCATCGCATCGTATCCCCCCGACTTTCCTCGTATCGTCTCGTAGTCCCTTTTTGTAGGCCCGACTCCGCCCTGCCGGGTCACCAAACCAATCGCCACCATCGACGCGACATATTATCTTGTCAGTCGGAGTGTGTCGTCTTCAACGGCCGCTCCCGCGGCCCACACCAGTAGAAAACCCTCTCCCAAACAAAGCCGAGCAGGTAACAATGTACAAACTCAAGCCTCAGAGAGAGAGATGGGCGAGCTGACCAAAAACACTTTAATTACGGGCGAACAATGGTCCCGATGCTTCCGACAAAGTGCGTCGTCTGTAATGGCCAACGTCCGGAGTTTCCAGTGTTGTGCTGAAAAGTTTTCGGCCGAACCAATTGCCCCAGTTTCTGGTACTTGATGTGCCGATGTCCAGAACGAGTCTCGACGTCTCCATGCAGCTCGGTGTCTCCCGCGAAATTCTCCGTAGCCGCCGTTTCTTCGTTATTCAACGCCGTGGGCGGCCATCCGCGCAGAACGCAGTAATGAGACCTGAAGCCACGGAGGCTGACGGAAAGTCAGATCGGACCCGCCACAGGCACTGCGGCAGGGTCGCATTCCCCGAACCAACAAAAGGTGCTCTGCTGCTCCCCCATGCCACAAATCTGAAGGGTGCGCGCGGATTATTGCCACCGTACACTTATTATTATTGCGCGCGGATTATTGTCACCGTCTGTAGACCACAAGGCGCCGCCCGGTCCTCGTGTTTGCGCGGGGGGGGGGGGGGGGGGCCGTGAGAACAGTAGATATAATCCTTCCAGGTACTCCACTCCAGAATGTCTATTCGTTACACCAAATGTTCTTTTCCTTTTTTTTATGCGTAGGTTTAAGAAACGAGCGAAAACATCCTGAAAGGATTGGGGTTCAGTCCGTGTTTGCGGGGACGTCACACAACCAATTGCAGGAGCACTTTCATAACAGACACTGCATTGGTAAAAACCTTGTTACCAAATACAACACGCAAAGGGGTAGGTTCTCCGCGTGTCACTCTCTCTCCCATGCCAGGCCGTGTATCGGCCGACTTCCGTCGGTAGCCGTTCTTACGCTCGAGCTCCATCAGCTTTCTCATGAAATGTCGCTTCATAGAAGCTATCTTAAGCGTGGACGGTACACCGTGAGGCCTTCAGTGCTGACCAGGTGTGCACGCGGCAGCGAGGGGCCCCGCCATCCTAACAACAGTCGGTAATGATGTATAGTGCAAGAGAATAAGCTCGTCTCCTTGCCACCATCATGTCTCGGGCAGCACAGTGGTCGTGTCCCTGTGTCATTCTCAATGGAACGCGTGTATGCCAACAATGACTTAAACTCAGACGGCGGTGCTTGGCCTGCTTCTTGCAAGACGCTCTTTCGAGTAGGCTTTCCCCTTCTAGTTCCAAACAGAAGCGACCTTGACGGCTCTGCTCGTGAACCGCGTGAAAGAAGGAGTCTCCTTTATTGCGCAGGTCTCCCGCGTTCGCCATTGTGGAACGAATGAGCTTCCTTAGTTGACGGGGCGGGAACTGGCTCCGCGGTCTGCATCAGCCGCATTAATTGCACTGCATACAACACGCCGGTAATTGTTGCCTCATACTAACTGCTAACTAAAACTCGCTAGTATCGCCAGAGGCGGGATTGCTCGAAAACTGGGCCACAACTTAGTCTTGGCAGAATGCACTTTTCTTTCACCTTAGGTTTGTTCTAGACGGTGCCAAGTAGTACGTCAATGAAAGGGAAATGGATGAGGGGATAGGTTAACGATGTTCCCCCCCCCCCCCACAACTTTAATTTTCCAGCAGCCAATGATGGGAAATAGGAATTGAAGCGGGGGGGGGGGGGTAGGAGGGTAGGATAGATGAACTAGCGCTTGAAAAAAAAAAAGAACATTGGGAGATGGAGCTGTTACCCTCCCCCCTTTTCACAAATCCCCCCCCCCCCCCCCCCCGCCTAAAGTCAGTATGCAAAGAATGCACTCACACCGAACTACACATATTGCTATTATCACTAAGGTTCTGAAGAATTGGGCCATGATTTATAACTGAATATGCAGTTTCTTGTCACACCTTTCTGAATAATAATATGTGGGGTTTATCATGCCAAAACCACCATATGATTATGAGAGATGCCGTAGTGGAGGGCTCAAGAAATTTCGACTACCTGGTGTTTTTGAACATGCACCCAAATCTGAGCACACGGGTCTACAGCATTTTTGCCTCTGTCGGAAATGCAGCCGCCGAAGCTGGCATTTGCTCCCGCGACCTGCAGGTCAGCAGCCTTAGCCACTAGACCACCGTGGCGGGGCTGTGTCATACCTCCCTCTACTAAGGAATCCGTTTTATACTGTTCTTGGGGACAACTTTTTTTTGGCACTGCTGTGGAACCTGCAGAACGGGTCTGCATGCCTGCTAGCGTGCCAAATGTAGTAGTACCTAACATTGTTTAGGATTTGCTCGTTTTCGTGGTTAACTAACTACTGCCTTACATATTATTATGAGACTGAAGCAGTTATGGAGTGTTAAGTGAAATGTAATTAGATTCATTTTACAAGAGTCAAGCTCTCATGACGTTCGGGACGTGTCAGTCTGTATGTTGCCACAAACTTGCCACACAATTATGAAAGAAAGATATGTGGAAAGTGTGACACTGAAATGCACACAGAGCAATCAAAATGTTTCTTCCCCATTCACATTTCCCCTTTATATTCTTTCTTAACAAAACTGTGCCGCGAGCAAGTAAAGTTGAAACTGAAATTGAAATAAGCCACAAGCTTTTGCGCTACTTGCAGAGTACCACAATGTGCTGAAACCTCAGTTACGTACCGTTCGCTGTCCCGGAGTGTAACAACATTATCGATAGGAGGTGTAAGCTATTGGCCCACGCTTCAGTTTAGTGGCACGAAAATGCGCCAGTATCGCAATTACTGCCTTATTTCCCAGTCGTGGAAATGGTCCAGTTCATTTTTTTTAGCTTACCTTGTTTTTGACGGCATTCTCTGAAAGTGCATTGGAAAGGATCATGGGTGTGTTTTGAGCACCTGGACGGAGGCTCTTTTATTCTGTACCCGCCATCAGTGGCAAAGAACCTAGGCTTGTCTATTTGTTGTCTGATCTGAAATGGGTATACGCACGTTTCTTGTGCTGCTTCTAGTAATTTGTTGGTTATGATGGTATTATGATTCAGGACTAAGCTGCCGTAATATATGTTCCTACTTTTTTTTTATTTCTTGTAATAGGTGGTCACGTTGCACGAGGCAAAGACACTCCTAAAAGAAGATGACGATCTCATCATTGCAGTATATGACTATTGGCTCAACAAAAGGTTACGAACGGTATGTGTTTTACTTAATTGTTATAAGTATGTCAATTGTAGCCATTTCTGAAATGCAAAGTTTGGTGTTTCATTTTGCAGTATAAGTTGTTGCATTGTGTTCTTATAAATTTTATTTGCAGTGAAAATATGAAACATAGTTGCCGGTAACCCTGTTTCTTCATTCTCTCATTTTTTTTCTAGTTGCTGTTTAGTTACCCTGTTCAAAAGGTTTAATATGTATTTTTGGAGGGGCAGGAGTGGGTCAAGTTGCTTGTTAGCTCTTTCTCCCAGCCATCCTCATTATATTGGTGGAAAATGAAGAACCTAATATTATACAGTAGACTTATTAAACGGAACCAGAAGGGACCATGAAAATGTGTTACATTTAACAGTAGTTTCATTTACTGAGAGATAAACAGGGGTGCAGCGTACAAGTACAACTGTTCTATTTAAGCAGCAGTTGTTTTCAGCAGATTTCTGTTTAATGAGAGTCTGCTGTATTATTGTTTTCAGTGCTCCAAAATTGTAGATGAAATTATATGTGAAGAAAAAAATGTGCAAACGAACATGCGAACAGTAAATTTTAGATCTTTGGAACATTTGAATGCACACACACATGTTCCGATATGCGCATACCATCTTCAAAAAGGTCATTGTAATAGATGCAAGCATACCTTACAAGGTTGCTACCGCTGATGGAGGTGTGCCCCACTCGGTTGACGATTCTCAGCTTTGAAAATGGCTTTTGAACGTCGAAAATGCTCAGTTTAAATATGAGTTTATCCGATATATACGATTTATCAAAAATCTTACTGGCTAATGTTTATTGTCTTTTTTTCCCCTTATTTATCAGAAAACGCAGAGCCCTAATTATGATCATGAGCTTACACTTGCAAAATTGCTGTGTTTGTGTGCATTCTTGGGCAGTTTAATAGTATGAGTGAGTGCCTTTCTTTTTGTTTGTTTCCTTTAGCAATGCCCTTTGGTGCCTCAAGTTAAATCTGAAAAGCGCGATGGATCAAATAACAGTAACCCGTATGTCGCTTTTCGGAGACGAACGGAAAAAATGCAAACGAGAAAAGTGAGTATTGTCCTCATGATTTGGATAATGCATAGCCTAATGTGTGTGTTTGTTTTGGGGCTGAGGGAAAGTGCTTGAGCTGTGTAGATTTGAAGGTGTGTTAGGACCTGCTGTCACCTTGTGCATCATATACAAATTAATGCCAAGTTGGAGTGTTAACAATTTTTTTGTTGTGGAAATTACAGCCTTCAGGAGGGGCCCTGCAACACTTTTTCAGCATAGTCAGTAAATGCTGCCAATCGCCAGTCGGGGCTTCTGTGAACATGAGAGCCAAACGTCGTTGTGCAGTAGGCGGCCTGAAATTTACAACTAATGCTTCAAGTCGACGAGAAATCAAGCTCTCAACAATTGACACCACAAATCCAAAGACTGCGCCACGAATTCACACTTTGCAGCTGTTGGCCGATTCGAACATCGTGGCCGACATATTGTAGGGGCCGCTGCAGGATGCCGCCGTGTTCCTGCTCATGCATTTGATGTCACGCTGTAACTTAGCCACGTGTTTGGAAAAGAAAAAGAAGTACTCGAGGTTATGCCACACACTGAGAGAAGTGCTTACGCACACACGCTTTGCACAACCCATTGTCATCTCCTTTTCTGCGTAGCTTTCAGCGTACTCTCTTGTGCAAAAGGAGAACGTACTTGAAGCGTGCAATAAATCTCTCTAAACTAGCTGAGTGCGCTAGTCGGTGATTTATACTTTAGCCAAGTAGCGCAAAAAAAGCACATTGATGAAAAACACACAGGACAAGTGTCAACTTCTAAGTGAATATCTATCGTCATAAAAACATCCTATATCTAGTGAGTACGGGAACAGTCCCGCAGTCACTGCATATGCAAGTCTCTAAATCTCTTCGAGTCTGCCATTACTTGATGGATTCTAAAAGCTATTACGGCAGTTGATTTGCAATGCAATCAGCTCTTTTGATGAAGCTATTTGATGACTACTTGGTAAAGTCTTGCAGGGCTGCTTCAAGGATAAGGTGAATCTCCGTCATCTAGTTACAAACATGGTAAAATATTAGCTTGCCGCGAAGAAAAAGTACCACAGATATCCCTCGGGCGGCCTTTAATATGGCTAATTGTTCTGAACAGATACTACTTAACTTATCCCTTTGGGCTACTGGCATCCTTAAAGGGGCCCTCAAACACTTTTTGAAGTAACCGTGGAATATATTCCTTAAAAGAGCTTACTGCCTCACAAATTTGATACAGATTTGTCGCACACTGCAATCGCATTCTCTCTTCTCTCATCCCAACGAAAAGTGCTCGAAGCTAAGCTGGAGGGGGGTGGCATGGGCAACGAAAATACGTCATGTGCACCTTGTGAACTTGAGCACATTTTCTTTTTCTTTTTTTTTTTTTTGAGTACGCAACTTTTTCAGTGTGATTGGCGCGCACGCATGGACAGGTCGCGGTCTCTTGCGGCGATCCATGTAATGACCAAGCGTGCCCATGTTCAAAAGCAAATGGCTGATAGATGGCCTTCCACGAGTGATTTTGAGTGTCTTCCGTGATTTGCCAAGAGAAGAGATAGCAATTTTCGGCTGACTTTGGAAATTTATTGCGAATTCCAGGCCGCATGTTGCGCTATAATATTTGGCTCCCATCTTGTCGGGAGTCTCTACTACTGATCAGCGTTTTCTGACCATGCTCAAAAAGTGTTGCAAGGCCCCTTTAAGAAGCCTCAAAGCCTTGGACTAACTTTGTTAAAGATCACGCCTCCACTACTCACCTGGATGTGCTATTCCGGTCGGGAAGAGCGATCTCCTATTTCATACTTACCCTAGCATTTATGTCTGTAGAACATGAGCACTTGATCTGTCAGCAGGAACAACCCAAGGATGTCACGTTTTTTAGGGGGCGTGGAGCCAAATGCTGGCTTCACTTTGCTGCTAAGAAGTTTTGAGTGATTCCACTCCTGGATACTTTTCAATCCCCCTTGTGTTGCAGCATCAGCAAGATTTTAACAACAGTGCATTGCCCTTGGCATGCATTGACTGAGTTGCTTAGAGTCTTTTTCTGCATTTGTCTTCAGAATCGGAAAAACGATGAGGCATCGTATGAAAAAATGCTGAAACTGCGAAGGGACTTAAGTAGAGCCGTGTAAGTATTTGCATCAAGTTATTATTCCTTGAACTCTTGCTTTTGTGCACGACTATGGGAAAAAAAAGGAAATATGTGCCCTTTTGTAGTGCTTCCACTGGCATAGCATTTTCAGCATAGGAATCTGTTGTAATGGAGCTGTTGTTGAGTTTTGATTTGCATGCACTGATTATTACTGTTGGCTCCGTATGCACTAATGTAATTTACTACAATATGCTAATGTCTTATCAAAAACTTTTGCAGAATCGCCTTTCACTGGTTGTCTCTCTCTTTTTGCAGTCACAAAGCACTTCAAATTGTTATTGTGCTTTTTTTTAATTAAATGTATGTAAGGAGAGGTTGGTGCCAATGCGTGGCGCCGGCTACTCCTGTTATTGTGCTTATTGGCGATCCTGACTAAAAAGTTAACTAATCTTTACTACCAACAATAACACGCAAAAAAGTGCCACAAATTGAAAGCCTAATGAATCTCACATGTGGAAGCTTTTCTGTGAAGTAGTCCAGTCTATTCAAAATAAGTGGCTGAACTGTTTAATCCTGATTTGGGCATCTTCAAGTGCTTGCACTCCGCGGTGCACAGCTCAATAATCAATTTCTTCATTACCTTATAATTTCCTGCTTAGTGAGCCATACTGAATCGCTGTTGCTCTTGACGTATGCGCTGGTGGATTATGTCAAGATACATCACTGTGATGAGACATTGCATAATGAAAGTCATTATACACGTTGCTTTCATGCTGTTTAAGCTTGACTTGATGTTTATGCTTCGGAGGGGTGCTTAAGCATGCACTGACGCTTGTATGTGCGGTCTCTTTCACACGGGTGAGATCTCAAAGCGCACGACGTCAAAGTGGAGCCAGCACTGCAGTTGCGTGCCGGCAGGAGCTCACACACGCACAGACACTTGAGGGGTGTAGAGTTGAACCGTCCGTGTCATCTGCGACAGGGGCACGCGATTGTAGTGCTGGCCGCAACGCATCCCATGTGCTTCGAGTTTTCCTCTAAGTGTGAAACAGACTGTATACGTACATGTTTTCGTTTGAAGACTAGTTTGGCAGCTGCCTTAGTCGAGCTTTGACCTACTGATTCTGCTAATTCGTAATGACTGAGTTGTTTTTCAAATCGATGTGCGCACGTGCTCAGTGTATGTCATGGGTATGTTCCAGAACACTTCTAGAAATGGTCAAGCGGCGGGAAAAGACGAAACGAGAGCACCTCCATCTCACAATAGAAGTGTTTGAAAAGAGGTCAGTACCAAGCATCGTACCAAGAGCTGCCCTGCTGTGCCTGTCTTGTTTTCGAATTTTAGTGCTTGAGCGTGTTCGTACTACAGTGCGGCAGCAATTTCTGAATAGGGAAGCTTTATTCGTAATGAATTTGGCTGTATGAATTCTTTAAAATTCTCTTGGCATAATGTTACTGTCTACACAAGTACTTAAAAAAAACTTGGCCTCATGGTCGTGTAATGGCATGCTCTGAGTGGGTCAATTGAAATTGAAGCTTTTCCAGACAGATGCAATTATATTAGCAAACTGTCACGCTTGGGTTTCTCACTATGGGTGAAGCGTACGTGCGAGATTGTTTGCGCTTGTATTGCCCTTACTGTAATCGCGCATCATCACATAATTTCTTGCCTGATTTTGTAGCTTGTCTTGCTAGTAATTGCCAACCACTGGCTGAACGAATGATAACGTGGGCAGAGTGCTGCCTTGGTCACCGATGAAGCAGTTGAGTCGCATCAATATTGCCATTATTCATTAGTCTCACAATATTATTAGTCTCACAATATTATTAGTCTCACAATATTATTAGTCTCACAATATTATTAGTCCCCCTTCAAGCATGAATGGGCTGTCTTTAAATGCACGAAATTTACAGAACTTTAAGATGCTGGATATTCTAATGCAAGATGAACAAAGTGGTGATTATTTGTGCTTTTTTCGGTAATTATTTGTAATTGAAGATCAGCCTATTCCCGTCTCAATCTCTATAAAATGTGGAAATCTCGAGCCCATAATAGATGAGCAATGTATCGGATACATCAGCCTCAAGGGGGGGGGGGTGCAAAAAAAAAAAAAGAAAAGAAGACTCGTAGTGTAGCTTTCGAAGTACATGACATTGAATAGCTAGTTGAACACTGTTGTGTCTTAAACACTGATGTTCTTGCAGCAAGACACAGCACAATGAAGTTGAATGAGCGCTAGTCATCCTGTCCTGAACTGTGTAGAAATGTGCACATTCCATTTCAAGCCAGTTAGAGAAAACAAAATTCAAAACATGGAATGCGTGGCACCTCTACGATTGATCTAGGCTGATGACAATTGCGATTGTACTTTGCTCTCCTCTTACGTTTCTCGTTTCTCTGCAGGTATCAAGTGGGTGACTTCACTGGCCAGATCATGGCAGAAGTAATGGCCATGAAGAATTCCAGGCCAAGTTATGTTTCTGTAAATAATAGTCAATTGTCAAGGCAAGAATCTAGGTTATCAAAGCACCGGGTAAGTGCCCACAATTCATTTTGCATACTTTCGTTGCAAGGAACTCCAAATATTTGAAAAAATTTACGTACATGATGGCAGGGGTCAACCACCCTCAATAAATATGTTTTTGTGCCAGTTGGCTTTGGTTGAAAGTTAGAAGAGGTGCAGTCACGAGTGAAATTCATGCCAGTAGGAAAGCATATTTTTATGGGATAGTGGTTGGCTACAAACTGGTACAACATCGCTTCTCAAGAGATATGGCCACTGAAAATCTCATGTTGGCGTTTCCTGATTAGTATTTGTTTGCAATCGTATGCGTTGGCCTCGTGCAAGCCTTAGTGGTGTCGAAAAATTGTACGAATTCAAGAAATTATCTGCCTGCTATATTAATAGTGAATTCTACTCTTCAAATACTGTGCTGATACTCAAAATTTTTGATCACTAGCTTTATTCAACAATAAAAGTAACAAATAATTCACATTTTGCCACCTCTTCAAGTGGCATTGTCAGTACACAAAAGGCATCCAAATGAAGAATACATCTTTCGTAACATCCAGCAGGGGACCACGATTACTATTACATGCAGATAAACTCAAGTTTTGGCACATGATATGCCAGATATACTCAAACAGGTGAGATGAAGTCTAGTTACAAAGAAGTTGTTTCCCGTACTCTAAGCTGTCTCACTGCACTTTTTTACGACAACCCATTATTTGGGATAATTGTGCTTTCACCTATATGCGGGTGTTTTTTGCAACAGCACGCAAAACTATGTTACTCATAATTGTTTCAGTCTGAAGATGGCATACCTCGAAGGAAGCGAGAGTACACAAAGCGCCGAAACAAAGAAACTCCTAGTCTGTGCACCAGCCAAGTGAGCTATGCCCGGTCAGAGCTGGAAATGGGCCTGTCTGACATGCCAAGCTCAGATGATGAGGCGCTATCACCGGTGAGTAGCCGTGTACTGTGGTGCGCCGGCTTTGGCAGGGGTTAGTAATAGTAGTATGAGTACAGGGTGCGTTAAGCAGACACTTAGGAAACGTTTCTCTTCTGCTGTGTTTGTTCCATTAAATGCTCATCAGCTGCTCCTCCGATGATTTCCGGGCAGCAAACTGTAGTTTTGTCGAACTTAAGACATTCATTTGATGATAACAAGGTAGGTACTGCATTGCAAATATTAAAAGCAGGAATCTGTCACGGGGCTTCTCAATTTTGTTCTTACTAATTACTAAAGGTAGCTCTAAGCAATGATGATTTGGCAAACACTACAGCAAAGTAAATAAAATCATCAGCTAAGGCAGCTCTCTGGCAGTCTGGGGATGTGGTTTGCTTTTGTGTTTGCGAAAGTGAGGCTACCGGAAGTAGTGTAAAATGTAGGCTGAATATAAGCAACCATTTGTGTGACTGTTTTTCTGATGCAGCTACAACAAAATCAATGACATTTTTGGAATCTGTAACAAAAAGTCTAATAGGACTGCAAAACGTCGTTAGGCTCGCTTAAAAAAGTTTCTTAATTTGTCAAGACTTGATTAGGTCTCATGCCAAGTTGGTATGGGACTTAAGTCTTAAGTTGCACATTTCTCCTTAAGCATAATGGATGGCTATCTGATCCTTGCCAAAATGGAACTTTAGCTGTAAGTACCACCGGCCTAGTTACATACTTCATAGGAAAGCTTTAAATTTTCTGGGTAGCACCTTGGTCTTTGGTTATGTGACACCAGATCGCTAACCACGTAATTGCAATCTCCATTCACTTGCTCACATTTTTTCGCTGTTTGTGTTCAGGTTACATCGCCATCTGACAATGAGGACGAAAATGATCCGGATGGTCCTTACGCTTTCAAACGGAAGAAGTACTGCAACTACCATGCTGTAAGTTTTGCAAGCTCAGCCGCTTCACGCTGCATGCTTCTTTATGGCAAGAACGTCCGCATCATTGTTTTCTAAATGTATCTCCAGACTACAATGGCAATGCATGCCTTGTTTAAAGGGTCCTTGCAACACTTTTCTAAGTAATTGTCGAATGACTTCATTAAAAGACAGTATTGCCTCATAAGTCAACGGCTGCAAATATGTCGAGAATTATTCAAGTACGAGCGGAGTTGCAGGGATTTGTCACATGCTTTAAGCACCTTTTCTCTGCTTTCCTACCAGCGAGCTCACTAAAAGCTTTTCCGGGAGGGGTACCAAAAAGAAGATACACATTCCTTTGTCACAATTGCAGCATTTTCAGTGCGTTCGTTCAGCTTACTTCCCTGGCTTCAATAAAGTGTGATACCTTCAGTTTGATCGCGAGTGCACGTGCAAGCTGTGGTGGCTACATTGCGATGCAGCTCAAGATGCTCAATTTAGCCAATGGTCATAGACATTGGGTGTCTTCGGTGTATACCATAGTCATTTGGATTCAGGCATCATATGTCAAGAGGAAGAGAGCAGCACTTCGAGATAGGTAATATTGCACTTCAAGTTGTAAAAAACTATTCCTACTTAGGGCAGGTAATAACCGCGAAGCCGAACCACGAGATTGAAGCAACTAGAAGAATAAGAATGGGGTGGAGCACATTTGGCAAGCACTCTCATATTATGACAGGTAGATTGCCACTATCCCTCAAGAGGAAGGTATATAACACCTGTATCTTGCCGGTACTTAGCTATGGAGCAGAAACCTGGAGACTTACAAAAAGGGTTTAGCTTAAATTGAAGACGATGCAGCGAGTAGTGGAAAGAAAAATGGTAGGTGTAACCTTAAGACACAAGAAGAGAGCAGAGTGGATTAGGGAACAAATGGGGGTTAAGGATATTATAGTTGAAATCAAGAAGAGAAAATGGACATGGGCCGGGCATGCAGCGCGTAGACAGGATAACCGCTGGTCATTAAGGGTAACTAACTGGATTCCCATAGAAAGGCAAGCGGGTTAGGGGGAGACAGAAGGTTAGGTGAGCAGATGAGATTAAGAAGTTTGCGGGTATAAATTGGCAGCAGCAAGCACAGGACCGGGTCAACTAGTGGAACGTGGGAGAGGCCTTTGTCCTGCAATCAACGTAGTCGGGCTGATGATGATGATGATGTCAAGAGGAGAGGGAACGATTCTAGCCGACTCTGAGAATACATTGTAAATTCCAGGCCACTCGCTGCGCTAAAATGTCTGGCTCATGTGTTGTCAGAAGCCTCGACTACTGATTTGCAGCATTTTTTTACCATGCTAAAAAAGTGTTGTAGGGTCCCTTTGGCACACCCTAATGAAAGTACTGCCACAGTTTGGGCATAGTGTCCATGAATCAATGAGCTGTCTCAAAGCACTTTACGCACGGTTATTCTGTATGGTTTACTGTAAAAAGTTGGACAGAATCAAATTAATGTTGATGTTCAGCTTAGTTAAAGGTGCACATGCAATAATGCATTTCTTGCAACATGCATGAGCCTTTTGTAACAGGTGCTCTGCTGTGTTGATAATTGCAGTTCATCAACTTCATGTTTGATGTATCGATGTTTAGGCACATGAGATCTCTTGTAAGTTAAAGTATCACCTCACAGAAATAATCCTTTGGAAAGCCCTTATATGGAGTGCCTCGTAATCATATTGTGACATTGGTTTCTAAAACACTACAATTTCAACCAGTCCTGAGCGGGAGGCATTCACAAGATTAAAGAGACGGGGCGTGCAAACTCGGACAGAAAAGGAAAGCTGAGACACCACAAGCGGTGTTTTTGGTGTCATCACTTCCATCTTGTGTCTGTGCTTTCACACTTTGTTTCTTTAACATGAATTCCTCCCAGTGAGCCCAGCTCTCTTTCACTCTAACGAACTCTCGAGATCTCCGGTGTCGTTTTGTGCATTGCACTACTGCTTCCTTCCCCTTGATGTGCTAACCACTTTGTGGTGTTTGCTTGCGCAGCCGCTCTTGGAGAGGCTCGGGAACTACCCCTGGTGTAGTCCTGAGGAAGGGGGTGCGGGAGAGCGCAAGTATCGTTACTGCCTAACCACCCTGACTGTACCAAAGCCCCACTGCATCGGTTTCGCCCGTCGGAGGATAGGCAGAGGTGGCAGGTGAGGCTTCCACTGGCCTTTCACTGCAATTCCACAGCAGCAGCCTACCATGAGTGGTTGTGTCAGCTCTGTACATGCCTGTAAGCATCTTACATGACCCAAAACATTTACCTACCTCCCGTCCCCTTGTGATTGTCCTCAGTATACTAGCTCCCAAAGGTAACAACTCTCAGCAACTTTAGCACGGCTGGATGACTGGCCGCTTTCGGAGCAGTGTATTTTGAAGTGCTGGATGGTTCGAGCTTCTAGCCAAAAAGCAATAAAGGCCCTCTGAAGCTTTTGCGGTCAACTGGACTCTCAAAACAACCGTGACACTCCCGCGCTTCAGTCTGTATGCGGTTTCTTTTTTTTCTCTCTCTTCTTTATTCCTTCCTTTTGTCATTTCCCTCCTTACATTTCTACCCCTTTCCCAGTGCTCAAAACATTTACCTACCTCCCGTCCCCTTGTGATTGTCCTCAGTATACTAGCTCCCAAAGGCAACAACTCTAGGCAACGTTGGCACAGCTGGTTTACACAAACTGAAAACTTTCTTCTGGTTAGCCTCCCTGCCTTTCTAAACCTTTTTGTCGCTCTCCCGTCCCTCCTGGTAGTAAACTAAAGAAAGCAAAAATTGAGTAAAGAAAGGCCACTTACTTATTCAGAGATGAGGCATAGTGCGATAAAAAAATTTGCATGTAAATAAACCATGAAACAACTTGTCAAGCAGTGCACAACCATGAGCTGAAGCGGTTGTGTTGCATTGTCGGTAGTGGCTCGAGAGCAAGACCGTAAAGGGTCAAATATATGTATGCAGATTTGACTTCTCTGTTTGCGAGCACCTAAAATAGAAATGAGTTGTTTCATAATGCAGGCTTGACTCAGTTCGATTTGGTAGAAGCAATGTAAGACGGAACGAGAAACTGCTTTCGCGAAATTGTCAAAAATGAGCTGGCAAGTCAGTGTATCATGTCTGACAGTCTGCCTTTTTACTTGTTCCTCATCCATCTTGCGTGAACATTTCGTAGCGTGTTGAGCACTATTGAGCATGACAAAGGGCTCTAACAGTAAGGCCAGGGCCACCTTTGCCTCGCCTGCAACATCGTAAGGAATATGGCGCAGCACAAAACAGGCTTGGCACAAGTTGTGGCGAACTGTTTTCGACACAGTAGATTTGTGCAGCCTGAATCTTCAGAAAGCTCGGAATTCAGCCCAGAGGCCGCCCAGGAGAGGATGATGATATTGCGTTCCTTGGCCGGCTTCCCTCCGAAGTGAAGCTTGTAGATTACGTCACAATTGATGACGATGTTGTCATCATCGGTCACTTGAACAATGACGAGATGAGTGCTGCTCTCATTGAGACAGATGAGGCGTCCAACAAAGACCCATGCGATGAACTATGCCCAGTGCATCATACCACAACAAAAGCCACGGACACTCTCGCTCTCGTCGTTTTAGAGAGGTTTTGTTACGATGTCCTAGGCAATACTCTTGGTGCTAGAGGGTTCGTCACATGCCCCCAAACTAGTCCTTGCCATCCAGCTGTCTACAGAAAAACAAACAAGCACCATGGACTACTTCTCGTAATAAAGGTAATGATAAAGGAATTGAAAATGTGCGTTATTATTATGCATTTGTTAATTCGACATTTGGACAATTGAGACATTTTTTTTTCCGCTCCCTTGAGATCCAGCTCAACGAAGTTTTGCTGTATACAATACATATGCAGAACATTAATGCTATCGCAAGGTATTCATATAACTGCTCTTGCAATACAAAGCTTGCAAAACTTTACAAACCACTGCTGGAAGAATATAAGATTGTAGCGGGCTGCCTTATCATTGCTGCAAGTTGTCGTCTCACTGAGCATTTTGTTCTTCTGCGGCTTTCCAGGGTATTGCTGGATCGAGCGTGGACTCCGTTGGACGACTACTGGCCAGACCTGGACGTAGCGCTAAACCAGTCTATGCCTAATGGCCTGCCTCCCAGCAATGATTTTCTGTCAGAGGTCAAGAATGAATGGTAAGGAAATGGGGTGGAGAACCTCTGTCCTTTTATGTATGCATTCTGTAAAACCTCATTGATACATTTGCATGATTTGGCTAGGCCAAGAAAAAAGGTAACAAATCAAGACGTGCGAATTGGGAGAAGCTTCGACTTTTAGAGATAAACACCATACTGATAGACATACACACTATCGCCTCTCCAATGGCTAGTTCACCTTGGCTTCTCAGTGGAAACCTGTACTGTGCCATGTGGAAAGCCAGAGTGAAAGCGCCTTCTGGCTCGTGTTTTTACTTGCATCTACCTTTAATTTTTACTTATGGCCAATGCTTTTTTTTATTCACTCAGAACCAAAGGCACCGATACCGCCGCCACCAACGCAAGTAATTTCGCAAAACTAGCTGCTTAGTTATCGTGTTGAAATAGAGGCACGACACAATGGAAATGGAATGTGTTTGGCTCGCTTGTAAGCCAAAAGTGTTGTGCAGCACAGCATAGAACACTCGCACTCCACCCTTCCCTTCACAATGTGACAGCGCACTACAGGTGAATGCATAATGGTCCGATGATTTCGCTCACCACGATATTGTGTTCAGTCTGAACCACAGCAGTGAGCAACGCCACGTGAGTGAGTTTTGCGTGCTGCTGCAGTTGTTGGAAATGCCCTACTCATGTTATTGCAAAGGAATGCCTCGAAATGGAACTTTTCAAATACACTCAAACCTCATTATAACAAAGTTGCACCTTACACGAAATCAATTCGTTATATTCGAAAATTCGTTACAAAAGTTAATTTCTAACACTATGTCTATTTCAAGACTATTCTTTATTTGCTTCGTTACAACCGATATTTCTTTATATCCGGTTTCGTTGTATCAAGGTTCGAGTGTACAGCTAACTCTCTGTATATGAAACTTCCTCAAACGAAATCGCTGCCTAAATGGAACAACTGCCTCTGATATGATTGGTTTTGTACTTGAATTCTGCACCCCTGTTTATTTCTCAGTAAATAAAACTCCTGTTAAAGCAAACACATTTTGCGGATCTTTTGGTTTCGTTAACTGGCGTCTGCTGTAAACTGTCTTCAAATATGGTGTAAACTGTGTGCAAATGTGAATCTTTTCTTTTTTACGCGGGAGGAAAAAAAAAATCTACATTCCGACGGCTGAAGTTGGGGGTGCATTTATTATGCGAGTGAGTTGATTACGCAAGTAAATAGAGTATGTGTATCACCGGAAAATCACATTATTCAATGCAAAATTCACTGAGTCCGAAAGAAGTCTCACATGATGACATACTCGAGGGCAAAGGTTAATGTGGCATTGAGTGACACTGATCAACACAACAAATATGCAGAGCAGAATCGCCTGATGCCACATGAGTCACAGACAACTCAGCAGCCTTGAAATAGCTCATCAACTAGTGCTCTTCTTTCTTGTTATGAAATGTCAGCAAAAACGTTCTAGATGTTAAAGGGGACAGTGTACCTAAAACCTTTTTAAAAGTTCTTTATCGATTTAAATGAAGGTATTTAGTTTATGTATAGTACCGTAATTACTTGAATCTAACGCACACCTTTTTTCCGGTTAAGCTAGTTCATAAATCGCATGCGCCTTAAAATCAAGTACGAAAAAAAAATGAATACGGTCATTCTATTGCCAACGACATTTCCGAAATGGCCGCCCCCTACGTGCCGCCCGTGCGTCGGCATGGCGCGTCGGCCATTTCTGCCTATGTGTTTCCCATGTGCGGCACTTCGTACGTCTGCTGAGGAGTTCGTCATCTTGTAGTGCATTAGCATCGACGGCATGGAAGGGCCGACTCCAAAAACTCGAGTGCACCACGATGCCGCTTTTAAAAGAAAAGTCATCGCGTGTGCAGAAACGGACGGAAATCGGGCCACATCGCGGTCGTTCGGAGTTCCCAAAACGTGCGTGCGGGACTGGCGGAAACAAAAGCAGAAGATTGTCGACAGTAAAGCTTCACGCAAAGGCTTCAGCGGACCACAGCAAGGTCGGTTTCCGCAAATTGAAGAGCTGCTCGGCGAGTATGCGCTTGAGCAGCGAGCGGCACAGTGGCCTGTGACGACAGAACTGCTCCAAGGGCGGGTTATGCAGTTAGCCTTAGAAAAAGGGCTAATTCTGAGCCAGTTTAAAGCGAGCAGGTGCTGGCTAACTAACTTTATGAAGAGGAAAGGCTTTTCCCTCTGAAGGCGAACGGGCATATGCGAAAAGTTTCCGGAAGAGTGCGATGAAAAGCCTCACAGTTTTCGGAGGTTCGTCCTAAACTTGCGGCACAACAACGACCACCTGCTTGGGCAAATCGGGAATCCCGATCAGAGGCCTCTTCGACATGCCTGGCACCACAACCGTCAAGAAGAAAGAGGCGAAGCAAGTTCGCGTACTGACATCGGTCCACGGTAAAACTACAGTGACGGCAATGCTCTGTTACATGTCAGATGGGCACAAGCTTCCCCCCCGTACTACATATTTAAATGGAAGACGCTCCCGAAAGGAGTCGTTTTTTCGAGTGGTGTGATTGTGCGGGCCAACGGGAAAAGAGGTGCGCGTTGCAATCGAAGTCTCACTTTTTTTTTTTCGTGATGGAAACCGGGTGCGCGGTAGAATCGAGTAAATATGGTAATTGTGTGTTTATTTGAAATATGCATTTTTTTTTCTAATTGTACAGTATGTAGTTCTTAAATTTCTGATGCAATTTTGGGAGCCAATATTCGCCTAAGCTGAGCAAGTTACAAAATAATTAAGCATATCAGATTGACCTGGAATGCGTGCACAATGCAAGAAAACAAAAATGGATATTCTAAGCCCATTTTAACAGTGGCTGTGGTATGTTAACTATTTGTGGTTGACATTTTAGCCTGACGTAGGCTCGCTTGGGAATGTATAACGTACCACAACTTTTGTTTCAATGAGTTTATAACGTCTATTCTTGTATCCTTGTATTGTGTACTCTTTCGAAGTCATTCTTATTAGCTACGGCTCCCAAAAAGCATATGAAATGTTTGCTATTTTGGAAAGTACATCTTATATATAATGCAGCTAAGACAGGGTACGACAACGATGACACACTGTATGTTCTCCATGATGGCAGGCTGCTGCTTTTGTCGCACAAGTTTCGGTATCACAGGAAATTCTCAGACCTATCTTATGTAAAAAAAAGAGCCTCACTACATTAATGTAAACACTAAATAAATTTCATATTAAACAGTTATATATTAAACAGTTAGGTTTATTGCACTGGACTAAGTTTTTCGGGCTGTTTAATAAATCGTTATTGAAGACAGCCTGATAAGTGCTAATGCACTCAACCAGTTTTTGGAAAGTCATGTTTGAATAGTCTATAAATTTAGAGCTGTGCGGATAGCAAAATTTCGGGTGCGAAGTTACTTCAAATATCGAAGCATGAGTTCAAATTGAATAGAATATTTTCCTAATATTTTTGGATACTTCGAAGCAAAATTACAAGGGCGAATATGCAAAGGATTCCGAAGCATATGACGAGACGGCAACATGAAAGTGGTTCTTTTGATTAGGCTGATGAAATACTGGCAAGGTGGACACGTAGGTGTCTTGTGAAGGATGAGGCAATGTAGAGGTCGAATTGTATTTATGTACATCATTTGGTGCAACTGAAGTAACAACAGTTTACATATGAAAGGCAAAGATGCTATTTCCTCATCTTCTCCTCTTCTTACAACTTCTGTGGAAGCCTAACTGATATGACGGACGAGAGTGTAGAACACCCTTCGTTTCGGAGCTCTGAATCTGCCTCGTAGACATAAGAAAATCTGGACTTTTAGATGCTAAACATCTTCAGCCTCCGATTTTTTGGACTTGTTGCCCCCAAGTCTCAGGTCAAAAGAAATGTTTAGCCCCCACTTCTGCCACATCTATAATCTCCATGTTGGAACTAGTGTTTTTGAGTCAATACATCTGTGACCTTAGTAGAGCCTGAAAAGCAGCTTTGCCACAATTCGCATGTGTGGTGGGGTGAAGCATATGAAAAAAGTCTGATATGAAAAAAGTTTGGCCACTGACAATCGGGCACTGACTCTATCTTTCTTCAGGAAGTTCGAATAGTTAAATTTCAGTGTGAATAAAATCAAATGGACAGAACTATTCTAAAAGTATTCAAAATGTCAATTATTCACTCACCCTTACTCTGTAGTTATGTTTGCTACTGTCAAGCCGAAGAAGTTTTTTTCAGCAACTAGACAATTGAGGGATGGCAAGCAGTTATCGGTTATCGATTGGTGGAATGGCCTTTAAAGCTTTTAATATGCTATCATGTTTTAAACCAGCCACTAAACCTACGCACAGTCATGTTTCTGCTTAAAAGCAGGAATGAAGACAAGCGTACGGCGATCAAGGTATGGTATATCAATTGTGGGAGAAAGTCGTATCTTTGTAGTGTCCAGCCGCTTCTCCAGAAAACATATCGCCATAAATGGAGTTGTGAAGCCTGAGCCAATATCTGTCTGGGGTGTGGTTGCATGCCTGTAGCAGTCGTCCTACATGCGGGCACTGATAGTGTGTGTGTTCCTGCTTTACTGCCCTTTTGTGAACTTCCCGTTGACAACACTCTTTCTGTCGTCCTTCTTCTTTCTCTGGTGTTTCATATATCTTTTTTTCCACTCCCACTTGCTCCGATGTTAGTCTAAAGCTTTGTCTTTCAATGCCGGGGCTTACAGCCACTTGCTAATTAGCCCTTGCTCAAATTGCTATCCCGAGAGTTATCGCACGAGGCTGCTTGAGGGGTTGCGATTTTTTCACCCGCCTCCAAAAATTTTTGTTTCAGTCTAAGAGCCCAGCACCGCGATGGCTGGCGCCCACTATGACGCCGGTCCCTTCAGCTGCGAGTGAGTGTGACACACGCTCGGGTTGGTGTGCAGGTTGCACTTCCGGCCACAGCGCAATGGCAGTGGGCTGCTACCCGAGACGTCACGGCCGGAGTCCCTTTCGGGGGGCCCCGTGGGGGCGGCAGCGGCTGCCGAAGCTGGGGTTGGTGCTGGCGGCGGCAGCCATCACCACCCGGGCGTCTCTACACCCGTCACCCCTAGCAACGTGCCGTCCTCGTCGTCGGCCCCGACGACGGATTACGAGAGCTTCCAGAGCCACCAGGAGGAGTTGTTTGAAATGCAGCGCAAGCAGCTGGAGAGGTTAAAAGGTGTGACGACTGCGTCGGGAGCGAGCAATAGCGCAGAAGGGGGCTCCAGGCATCTCGGCATCAGCAGTGGGGCACCTTTGGTGGCATCTGCGCTGGGGAGTGCAGCACCCGGTAGGTCGTCGCACTCGACGCTGGATCCCGCCAGTGTTGAGTTTGCCGTGTCCGCACTGCTGAGCACGACGGAGGTGTCTGGTATTCTGAACTCATTAGTGTCCTCGCCATCAGTAACTACGGCGGCCTCCCTAGGAGACGGATCTGGGTCCACTGTCACAGCTGCAGCTCACGCAAGGCTTGCAGTGGCAGCAGCTAATGGTCCTTCGGCAGACGCAGGTGAGGGCATTGGTTGTGCTATCAACGCAGAATAAAGTGCTCATAGGAATCTGGTAGTGTGTCTTGTACTAATGGCTACTTGGCAGTAGGGGTATGCGAATATTTGTCAATATTTGGGAATAGTGTTTGTCATTTAATTTTATTCGCACTGGAAGTTCTACTGTTCGAACTTTTCTGGAAAATCAATATAAGGCTTTATAATAAGAGAAAATCTGCATGCAGTGGGCTTGATCGTGCATTTTGGGGCGTTGACTAGAACTTCTAGCCACTTCCACCGGTGCCCTGAGCAGTCACAACGCGACGAACTTGGCCAGGGGTTCGTTGCCAATGTGTAAAAAGCCTCTTCATGGTTCCAAAGAGCTACCGCGCAACGCGATTCATTGCTTGGGGCAAAGCACATGTGGCTTTTTCACTTCCACATGTCCGTTGGTGGGATGTCCATGTTCGTTAAGGCGGGCCTGGCTACGGCTCCGAGTAGTAAGCTTGGTTGCAGTATGTATGGCTGTGGTGCTGGGTGTTTCAAAGTACGTCATGCTCGATCACGTGCTCAAAGTGCCATACCGCGACGGTTCCCAACGAGTGTGGCGCACCGTCTCGTTCCAATGGTTGAGGTTTAGTTTGCAGGTATCGAACTAAAGTGTAATTAAAATGTAAGTTGGGAGTCTCCAATTCAGCACTCAATCGCAGCACTGATGCAGACGGCCTACAGAGTTGCCACTGACTTTTGAGTGAAATTCGCCAAACGATGAGCGAAATGTCGCTAAAAGTCGCCATTTTCCTTCAAATTTCGCCAGAAAAGTCACCACTGTGCATACCATGTTTACTCGAATCTAATGCGCACCTTTTTTCCAATAAAGTGGGTCCATAAATCGCATGCGCACTAGAATCGAGTACAAAAGAAAAAATTGGCCCCATATCTGCATGTTACACTGCAAATGTCGTCGAAAGACGGTTGTCTTGCGCCTGGAGAGAGTGAACAGAAAGTTTATTTCATGCTCTGCGCAAGAAAATCTTTTAATGGTATTCTGGAGGTGCTGCGTTAGAGTGCCTCGAGCGTGCAGCGGAGGCGAACGAGCGCATCAAGTCACGTCACACGTGAGACATGAGTGCTATCTGGCAGTTACCTTTGAAAACGAAGCGCTCGGGGTGAGCGCCCGTCTCGGAAGTGATAAGGTGCAGAACGCAAGGCGACAGGTAGGTGCCACCACCGTGTAGTCTTGGCAAAGCGTTGCGTTGTCAGCGCAGCGTAATAAACGGTACTGTTTTTAGAATTACTTATGCATGCCTTTTTTTTAGTAAAAAGACACGCATATAAATATTGACGTGTTGTTATGGTGCCTCAGATATGCGCAATAATTGCTTTTAATTGACAATCGCACAAGTATAAGTGCTGAATTATTGAGCGATACTGGTGGGCACTGCAGATGGGTCGGCCGTTTGGGGTACCGTTTGGTGCTGTTTAGGGCATTGTTAAGGGTGGACAGACAAATGTACAGATAGACAGATCAAAATTTTTGTGTCGGAGGTCCCCAAGAAAGACTATCATCTTTAAAAAAAGAAAACGGTCATTCTATTGCCATTGGCATTTCAAAAATAGCCACCTCCAACGCGCGTCAGGCATTTCTGCTGTAGTGTTTCCCGTGTGCGGCACTTCGTACGTGCGCTGAGGAGTTCGTCATCTTGTCCATTCACATCGACGGCATGGAAGGGTCGACTCCAAAGACTAGATGAGTGCACCACGATGCCACTTATTAAAAGTCATTGCGTGTGCAGAAACGGACGGAAATCGGACCGCATCGCAGTCGTCCGTAGTTCCTGAAACGTGCATGCAGGGCTAGCGGAAACAAAAGCAGAAGATTTTCGACAGCAAAGCTTCACGTAAAGGCTTCACTGGACCACAGCAGGGCCGGTTTCCTCAAATTGAAGAGCTGCTCGCCGAGTATGTGCTCGAGCAGCAAGCGGCACAGCTCCATGCTCCATGTGCGGGCTATGCAGTTGGCCTTAGAAAAAGGGCTAATGCGGAGCGAGTTTAAGCGAGCAGATGCTGGCTAACAAACTTTATGAAGAGGAAAGGCTTTTCTTTCAGAAGGCGAACTGGCATGTGCCAGAAGTTGCCGGAGGAGTACGAAGAACAGCTTCACAGTTTTCAGAGGTTCGTCCTAAACCTGCGGCACAACAACAGCTATCTGCTTGTACAAATAGGGAATGCCGATCAGATGCTTCTTTACTTTGACATGCGTGGCACCAGAACTGCGAGAAGAAAGGGGTGAAGCAAGTGCACGTGCTGACATCCGGTCACGAAAAAACTAGAGTGACGGCAATGCTCTGTTGCACGTAAGATGAGGACAAACTTCCACTGTACCTGATATTTAAACGGAAGACCCTCCCCAAAGGAGTCGTTTTCTCGAGTGGTGTGACCGTGCGAGCCAACGAGAAAGGTGGGATGACAACAGACCTGGTCGCCGATTAGATCCATCACGTCTGCTGAAAGCGGCCAAGCGCCGGTTTGGGCCTGCGAGCGAGTTTCGTGCTCGATGTGTTCTGACGCCATCTCGACCAGCGGATCAAGAACAAGCTCGCTGTGTGCAATACGGACCTTGTAATCATACCTGGTGGCATGACATCACAACTTAAACCGCTTGATGTCTGCCTGAACAAGCCGGTGAAGGACAAGATTCGGGCGCTCTACACCAACTGGCTGATCAATAGACGACACTATTTCACGCCAAGCAACAGGATGAAGCATGCCTTTCTGTAAGACTTTGCTGCATGGGTGAAGGACGGGTAGTGTGTAATACCATAAGCCATCGTAATCAAGGCATTCAAGAGATGTGGCATCTCAAATGCCAAGGACAGTACCAAGGATGAGATGCTTTGGGCCGTTGACACCGATAAGGAGTTGTCCGACGGCGATAAGGACTGACCCATTACACGTTGCAACAACGCCGCCAGTGTGGTCACAGTTTTAGCTGTGACCACACTTGTGTTTTATCTTTTGAAACTTCAGTGCATTAAAACCCTAATACTTGTTTCCAGTGTGCAAAGATCGACTCCTACGGACTTTTTTCTTTTCTCTTCCGTCACAGAAAATGGGTGTGCGTTTCAATCAGTGTATTACTTCTTTTTTTTTTTTTTTGCCGTGGAAACCGGGTGCTCATTACAATCGAGGGCGCGGTAGAGTTGAGTAAATACTGTATGTGTGGTGGGCCTAGTGATAAAAATTCCAACTTATGTATAGCCCTCTGGAATTTGGTGCCATTCATAAAACCTAAATTATATTGCTATATTTTAATGCCAGTCACATTACCTTCATCATGGGAGCACTGAGAAAGGGCATGCATGCACCGGCAGTGTGCCTAAATGCTAGCACCTCATAAGAAAAGTTTGTGATGGTTTCAGTTGTAGCGAATGCAGAATGAAGCAGGCACTACAACAAGAAAGGGACACCATGCATGGCCCTCCTGTATATTTAGAGAATTTCGCTGCAGGAGAATCATGTGTCCGGTAATCAAAAAACTTAATTACAAAGCAACGGAAATCAATTTGTAAATACCGCGTAACCGTCGCAATCACTACACCACGTTTTCATTGTGGTCATAATTTTACGCTATAAATTTGCCTCACTAGTTTCTGAAGGCTGCTCGAGGAATGGCCTACTCAACATACCAAATTAGGGGATACTACAGCAGTGAAGAAGTCGACAAGCTATTCACGACAGCTGAAGCTGCGGTCGGAACACGCGACCTGTAACTGTCACCAAGCCACTTCAGGCGCATAACTTTGAAGACATAAAAGCTCCTAAAGCACCTATAAACATATACCACTGCCTCGCGGCACAGGAAGCAGTCCACTGACCTAAATTTCTGGGAGGTTGCTGGTGGATGCACTAGTGCGCCAGGATATAGCTGAATTAGAAGGCACACACGAGAAGCAGGACAAACGTACTAGATTGCTCATAAGTGTGCCTTCTACTGATGGGTGTAAAACTAAGAAAATTAGAAGATGTTTTCACCCATTCGTTTTGAAGACACTTAGTAGTTTAGAATGTCTAACTCAGTCGAGACCTAAGCCAAAAATCACCAAAAATTCGCCATGTCGCCATCCATGATTTTAGGTCACCAAGGGCCTCTCAGATTTGCCAATTTGGCGAAAAGTAGCCACCAGTGGCAATGCTCAGTGCTGCAATTTAATCCCGCAAGGGCCAAGGCAGAAACCAAGGCAGAGAAGGGGTGGTTACTTGAAGAGATGTGGTGCAAGGATTCCATCAATCTGTCAAATAGTGATCTGCCAAAGTGACTAAAATCTGGATGGCAATTCTGAAACATAGCTTTACTTTTCAGTTATGTTTCAACACACGATGACGGCATTAGGTTCCTCACGAAAACAGTGTTTTATTAGACTAGCTCACATGCATATGTATTAAGAAAAGTTTTGAAAGAAATTGTGGAACAGATACTCATGTGTGGGCCTTGGGACGTGTGTTTGAGACCCCCGCTCTAAGTGACGTCAGTTGATGCACACACAACGAATGGGAATGCGTGAAGTCTTGCCAACATTCGGGACCTGTTGATGCGTAAGCAGCCGATGACGCACTCTCGGAGTGATGATTACACCAGTGTGTTAAGGAAAACTGACATCGGCAGCGCTCGCCCTACAAATGCAAAGAATAGATAGTATCAGTGTGCCAGCAGGAATCAAACCCAAGCATTCTGCATGGCAATCAAGTACTCTATTTCAATGTAGAGGTCGCCACAATTCGGCCTTTTTATGAAGACACTACTAAAGCCCCTTAATCTTGGGAAAGTACCGCCATCCATTGTACTCGCCGTGTGTCAACCTCTGCTCTTCCTTGCCTCTTTAGCGTCCTCCTGTTCTCAGCCCTTTTTTCTGCTCGATGATCAGTCTCCTTGGTGTTTGCCTTTAGAGGTGTGGGGATTTTGCGTTTCGCTAGTATTTGTCTTTTTTACTCGCGCCATTTTTTGTTGTGGCGACGCATAGCGACCGTTGTACAGGCTTTCTTTCCTGCGCTGCATGCTGGTGCTATGCCATGCTGTTGCTCCCGTAACAACCAGTGTGCAAATGTTATGCATTTTTTATAATACCAAAAGTAAGCACCATGGCTTGTGCAAGAAGCAGTGGCTGCACAACATTGGCTGAAAGAGATTAGTTCTATCAAAAAACAGTGTTCTTTGCGAGGTACTAAAACGCTTTCTTTATTGCTGATGTGAAAGCATCGCCGAAAGGTGCATGCACTTTAAATATTCTTCCAGCCTGATCAGCATCGTATTTTTTTCTCCCGGCTATTTGTGCGTTGAATAAAGATGTGTTGGCCTCATTTATGCTGAATATTCTGCCAAAGCTACATTAGCTCGCCCCATCTGCGATTGTTATTCAGTTTGAAATGCAACACTATGGAATCTGCTTTCCATTGTGAACAGTTACCTCGATACAGCTTCTTTATCACGCTTGTAGTGATTGAAAGGATCCATTGAACATGAGTGTGAAAAAGAGCGAATGTATGAATAAAGGTCACACTAATGATAGTCTTCAGATGAAGCTTTTTTACGAAAGGGGAGGAGGGGGGAGGTATCCACGCTAAAACAATGACAAAGTGCGATCTGGCACCAGAAAAAAAAAAATTGTGCAAAAACATACATTTGATACGGTGCTGGAAAGAAAAGAAAAACATAAGCAATGTGATAAAAAAAGATTCGGAAAGATAATGGCACCCTGATAGCGAAAATGAGCCATCATCTTGGAGGCCGTAGTCGATATGGCTCATATAATCATGCCTGATTTTGCGTGCCTTACGTTCACCTATAAGAAACTGGATTGTCTCTTTTACCGGTGTTAGATGTGTAATTTCGATTGTGATCTGAGTCAAGCAATATTGAATTCCTTGATAGCGATCAACAACCATCGGTCCTATATGCATAAAGGGGGGGTGGAAGAAGGTGAAAGCCATTTTTTTTTTCCCCTCTCTGGCAACGATTTGACTCTGCTCATAATGACAAGATGAATGCCGGAAATATTTAATCTAATATGATAGTGAAGGTTTAAAACCACCTTATTGCGGCTTTTTGGCCGTGCTTTTCTGTTGATGTAACATGAACTGAAATCATAGCATCAATATGTTTTAACCACAAAGATGTAGCAGTCAGTTACGATTACGATTGTGACGTCGTAATTCGGAGAATTTCTGTGCCAATAACCTTCAGCACATCAATGTATGAGTCGCATGTAATTGTGTAAATGAAATTATTCATAGCACCTGAATGATTAGCTGCTGTCTGTATGTTCTAGCTACATTTCACTTTGGACCAACTTGAGCCACATATTATGCAACAACTTTTTTGGGGGAAATTGGTGCCGTGCGCTGAAGGTGGGCGGGGGGGAGGCTTGTGGAGGAAACGCGCACGCAGAGGAGAGAGTCGTTACTTTCTTGATCAAAGAGCCTTAGCTGCCACCGGAACGTGGCACCCTTTGTTACTTGCGAGCCTACATGCCTATATGTGTTCATGCCCAATAAAGAGTGAAGTTCTACTTTCGTCCGGGCCAGCAGCGTGTATGCGTCGGTCTCTGCATGTCCATGCCCCTGAGGCACTAACCACGCGACACTCACAGCCATGCCAGGTCTCGAAACTGCTTTAAAAAAAAAGACCTTGTGCAGGCGTAATGTTGGTGAAGTGTCGATTGTGGTTGTAGGGCTGGCTATCTAATTTTACTAGCATTACATATGTACTCCTACAATATGGGCATCACGTGTGGTACTCCATCCAGAGAAGTTGGTCTTAGTAGCACTACAGCCAGGGCTACCATATTTGCAAGCACAGGCACTGTGCATCAGCTTATTGCTTCTGGTATTGGTAATACCAATGTTGCGTTTACCAGAGTTATGCAACTGTCAACAACTGGTTATGTAAAACACATGCGATTGTTGAGCATGTGTCTGCACATACTACATTTGTACAAATCTTTTACGTCATTTCCTAACTTTTCACTCGATAAAAAATAACACAGTCACCATCTCTCAACATGCTTTGCAAAACATAGATTCCCATGGTATGCGGGATCTACCAATATTTTCTTTTACTAAAAAAATTTCGCAGTCACCAAGGAGGTTTCTCAGGTCTTGCCATGGGACATGACATTGATAGAATAAACTGATTCTACTCTTGCACAATGTTAGACATGTAGTCATGTGGTTAGTGTAACAATCCAGTAAGCTTCCACTTGCTATTGCAAAATGTCGTGCTGTCACGCAACATGTTTTTTGGCAAAGGAAAGTCCCACGTCACCTTAATTGTGTAATCTAAACCGACTGTTTTCGTTCCTCTGTCTTGACCACAGTGCGAACAGCCAGCGAAGGTGATTTGCTGCGAACAACACCCAAGCAGCAGCCCGGAGGCCAAGTGACTCCTGATGCTGGTGCAGAAGCTGACTCGCACGTAATGGCTGCACTGCCACCCGTGGAGCTTGGGAACAAGCTACCAGCATCACTCACAGACCTCCGGTATTCCATCCTTGAACAGAATGGAAACGAAGGGAACAAGTAAGCATTTTTGGCTACCATTTTTGTTCGCATTAGTAGATAAGCATTAGAAGCCTCATTATGAGATAGGAATGGGAAAAGCATCGGTAGCAGCATCAGCACCTAGTAACTCATCAAGTGGGGGGGTGGGGGTGAAGAAGCAGGTGCTTATAGGATGGTTTCACTGCTTGTTAGTGATTTGCCCTTTTCACTGAATGCATGCATGCCAAGTTGCTGGTATTTAGTTCCTTAGTTTGCTATCAAATATAACTTTGTTACCTAAACAGCACACAAAAATTGTTTCCAGAATTTTGCTGTATGCTCTACAGGCCATTGTGACGAGCATGATGAAGCACATACGTTGAGCGTGCTATCTCTGCACAGCAAAGTCACCAAGTTTTGGTAGGGCATCTCCAGCTTGAGTCGTTTCTGACGGTAGCTGCGAGATCAGGCTCGGCACACTTGCACAGGATAACTGCCTCCGGTATTTTCTCAGCCCCCGAACTGAAACTTCCGTTACAAGCATGCTACCCTCGGTTTAACCCATGAGCATAGTCGTAGGCTCAGTCTTCATGTTTTCCACAGTGTGAACGTACTGACGGCAAGCTTACCTGGATGCCACCTGAAACTACAAAGCACTCACTGTATCTTCAATAGCGGCTGTGATTAACTAGGGTTTTGGCTTCAGAAGGATTCAAGAAAATGCTTTGTAGTAGAGGATTCAAGTGAGGACACAAATTGAACATGCAGCACTGTAATGGCGCTACCTTGGTTCACAGCCACCACGTTTTTGACATGTTTGTCTGAAAAATCGAATGAGATGTTGTGTGGTCTGCAGAATTTCTCCGTGCAATCATTTTGTCGGCATAGCGGGTCGTTTGCAAACATATAGGGGCTCTAAAGAGCAGAACGATTTTTTGCGTATTAGTTAAGTACAATTTCAAGATTTCAAAAACACTACTCTTATCGCTACATGGCACTTGGTAAGCGAGAAAACGCGCAAAAAGAAAATGCGGGTGGCGATGTTACGTTAAGGTTGCCACGCCAAACACCGCAACGTAAGAAATTTTGAAGGCATCTACTGGGTCCTACGCAGCTTCGAATCGATAAAAATGAAGTACACTGTAATCTCATAGACTTAACATACGAAGTTTCAGGAAATTTCAGTGAGCCAGTTCCTCGAAAATATCAAAAATACATTTTGAAATTTCTCACATCACGCGCAAGTATTCTGACACAAATTTTGAAAATGAAACTGCAACATTTGTTTTCTCCACTAATAATGAACTGATGATAGTGAAACATATGCGTTAGAGTTCTCAGAGTGCACTTTGTAAATCTAAATGAAGCCATTGTTTCTCTTTAGTGTCACTTTAAGTGGTTGGTAACGTCCCTGTCACATGCATCTATTCTCAGATATGTGTAGATACTTGGTCTACATATTTTGCATGTGTGCAGTCTTGGGGAGCAATGTCTTGGGGGAACATTTTGTGATGGAACGGAACAAAACGCAAGAGAAGGAGAGCAAACAGTCAGAAGTAAGTTGAGGGACTTCAGAAATGTTCTTAGTGCATGAGTAAATACACAATCGTTATAGTTGGAAATTACTATTGGCTGGCATTGTTTTTCACAGCCTTGATATTGATGATTTCAGTGATGCTTTCAACAATTTATTCGCGTGAGTGTCTTGATTTGGTCTTCAGTTGTAATTTTTGCAAACTATTGGTGCGGTGTCGGACTAAACCAGTCATCAAGCAGGCTGATGACTCGATGACAGCATTTGGGTATGAACGCAGATAGGCTGACATGAACTGAGTGAAAAACTTCTGCGATGGTACTTCGGACCACACAAGGTAGTTAGACGTCTCGGCACCCTCGACTACGATGTTGTCCCCGACGGCATCACGAACGCTCAACGGCGCTGATTGCGACCTGAAATCGTCCATGTCGCGTGCCTTAAGCGCTTTCAAGCACGTTAATGAACCGAAAGAATGTATTTTGTTGTATTTGCTGTCACTCCTGTATTGTAATTTATTCCAGGCATTATTGTACTTTCACCTTCTTTGGAGTGAATGGACACAGTAGATTGGGTCAGAACACCAAACAACAACATATTGTCGCAGTGCAACGCGAACAAAAGTTGACAGCAGCTTACGGCAGCGAAAAGAGCGTATTCAGGATCAGCTGTACAGCAAGATGCCTGCTTCGTTGTCGTCTCGAAAAACCACCTGACCCACAAGCTGGAATGTACAAAACATTCCTATCATCGTTCTTTTTCATATAAACATATGTCACTTGCCCCTCCTTATAGGAGCATCGCCCAGATGCTGATTCAGACCCACAGTATTTTTTTTAACGTGCAGTCAGTCACTCACATACGGCTTCATACGCACTACATGGACAAGTTCAGGCTGGTGCTGGCGACGCCTCGAGCATTGGGGACTGTCGGAGACGACCTCGTAGGTGACGTCACTTAGCTGGCGCGGTACTCGGTATGGCCCGAAATATCGCCTTAGCAGCTTCTCGGACAGTCCACGTTTTCATAGGGGTGTCCAAACCCACACTTTGTCACCGATTTTGTACGTTACAGTTCTATGCGAGCATTGTAGCGGCCTGCGTCGTAGTCTTGTCGCTGGTGGATCCGTAAGCGGGCGAGCTGCCTAGCTTCTTCCGCGCGTTCAGTGAACACGTCAGCGCCTGTGTTGGTAGCGTTCCATTCATGTGGCAACATCGCATCCAGCATAGTTCGTACCTCCCTTCCGTCAACCAAGCTGAATGGAGTCATGCGAGTCGTCTCTTGTTTAGCCGTATTGTATGCGAACGTGATATAGGGTAAAATTTCGTCCCAATTCTTATGTTGGACATCCACGTACATCGACAGCATGTCTTCAGTCGTCTTGTTGAGGCGCTCCGTTAGTCCATTCGTTTGCGGGTGGTACGCAGTGGTCTTACGGTGAGTCGTTCCACTAAGCATCAGGACCTGGTCTAAAAGAGCTGCCGTAAAAGCTGCTCCGCGGTCTGTGATCACGATAGTCGGGGCACCGTGGCGTAGCACAATATTTTCTATGAAAAATCTCGCCACTTCCACTGCGGTGCTCTTTTGGATAGCTTTTGTTTCGGCATACCTGGTTAGGTAGTCTGTTGCGACTATAACCCAGCGATTCCCTGCAGTAGAAGTAGGAAGGGGTCCCAAAATATCCATTCCTATCTGTTCAAACGGTGTACGTGGAACCTGAACTGGTTGCAGCTGACCGGCGGGTCTCTTTGGAGGTGACTTGCGTCGCTGGCAATCGATGCAAGTGTGAATGTGGGGCTTGACGGCTGTTGTGAGTCATGGCCAGTAGTATCCCTGCTGTACTCTTGCCAATGTGCGAGTGTAGCCTAAATGGCCAGACGTCGGCTCATTGTGACATGCTTGGAGCACTTCAGTTCAAAGGGGTGCAGGAATAACGAGCAAATAGGGAGCTCCGATGGATGAAAGGTTTCTTTTGTAGAGGACGCCATTGCGTAAGTAAAACGACAATAATGTCCTTGCAAAGACTCTAGGTGCCCTCGAAGAACGTCCGTCCACGTAATTAATCAACTCAAGCAATTCAGGGTCACTTCGTTGTTGTTGGGCAATCGTGGACGCGCCGAGAACACCAAGGAAGGCCATATCGTCGTCGTCAGAAAGAGAAGCTGACTGTACTGGTGATCGAGACAGGCAGTCGGCGTCCGTATGGCGCTTCCAAGACTTGTGTATGACCGTCATATCAAACTCTTGTAACTTCAGACTCCATCGTGCTAATCGGCCGGTTGGATCTCTTAAATTAGTCAACCAACAGAGTGAATGATGGTCACTTATAACTTTGAAAGGGCAGCCATACAAATACGGGCGAAATTTCATGACTGCCCAGACCACGGCGAGGCATTCTTTCTCAGTTGTTGTATAATTGGCCTCAGCGCGTGTTACCGTAATTACTCGAATCTAACGCGCACCTTTTTTCCGGTTAAGCGAGTTCAAAAATCGCATGCGCGTTAGAATCGAGTACGAACAAAAAATTACGGTCAATCTATTGCCATCGCAAATCCAAAATGGCCGCCCCCTACGTGCGTCGGCATGGTGCGTCGGCTATTTCTGCCTATGTGTTTACCATGTGCGGCACTTCGTACGTGTGCTGAGGAGTTCCTCATCTAGTAGTGCATTAGCATCGACGACGTGAAAGGGCCGACTCCAAAAACTCAAGTGCACCACGATGCCGCTTTTAAAAGAAAAGTCATCGCGTGTGCAGAAACGGACGGAAGTCGGGCCGCATCGCGGTCGTTCCCGAAACGTGCGTGCGGGACCGGCGGAAACAAAAGCAGAAGATTGTCGACAGCAAAGCTTCACGCAAAGGCTTCAGTGAACCACAGCAGGGTCGGTTTCCGCAAATTAAAGAGCTGCTCCGCGAGTATGTGCTTGAGGAGCGAGCGGCACAGCGGCCCGTGACGACAGAACTGCTCCAAGTGCGGGCTATGCAATTAGTCTTAGAAAAAAGTCTAATGCGGAGCCAGTTTAAAGCGAGCAGGTGCTGGCTAATTAACTATATGAAGAGGAAAGGCTCTTCCCTTCGAAAGGAAACATGCATATGCGAAAACTTTTGCGGAGAAGTACGATGAAAAGCTTTACAGTTTTCAAAGGTTCGTCCTAAACTTGCGGCACAACAACGGCTACCTGCTTGGGCAAATCGGGAATGCCGATCAGACGCCTCTTTACTTCGACATGCCTGGCACCACAACTGTCGAGAAGAAGGGGGCAAAGCAAGTTCGCGTGCTGACATCGGTCCACGGTAAAACTACAGTGACGGCAATGCTCTGTTACACGTCAGATGGGCACAAGCTTCGCCCGTACCTCATATTTAGATGGAAGACAATGCCGAAAGGAATCGTTTTTTCGAGTGGTGTGATCGTGCGGGCCAGCGAAAAAAAATGGGTGCGCGTTGCAATCGATGTCTTACGTTTTTTTTTTTTTTTTTTTTTTTTCGCGGTGGAAATTGGGTGCG